TGTGGCCTGAGAAAATTCTTGCTTGAAGACTTAGTATTTCTGTGCCTTAAATCTTAGGAAATAGGTCTGGAGGATTCTGAGGACAGACGTAGTAAACTATAACATTTCCTACCAGTGACAGATAACTAAATCAGTTGACCTAGATGGAGATATTATGAAAACTGACTCCAGATGTATTAACACATTTATTTCAATAGTACTCAGGGGTATATAAATGATTTGGTTTAAAAGCATCGTACTCTGTTAGTTTCTGTTTTCTTAAAATAGAACCAGTGAGTATGGAAGAGAAGCAACACCCAGGAGGAAGAAGACTCAGGAAGCGCAATGTGACCTTGTGTTGCCATTGATTTTATTTTCAGAAGTTGTCCTGGCAATCAACTCCCCGTGGGATGCAGTGAGACCTTGAGATGCAGCTTTGAGATAACCCGGATGTTCCGTGCTTTTGAAATTGGGGCCCAACAGAGCCTCACTTCCCCCGTGGTAGGATATAGGGCAGGATCATTTAACAGAGTTTCTACGTCCTTCATTTCAACCTAAGACTTTTCTGAGTTTCTCTGATATCCAACCCTTTGTACTGTGGGCAAAGGGGTCGATCTGTTACTCAGGAATGGAAATACACATTCTCGTGTGCTGGGAAATTCACTGGAACATGCTCATTTTGAACAGGTCACACAAAAGTCAGCCCGGAGCATTGGCATTGCTATTTATAGAACAAGTAATTTTTCTGTGCCAGAATTTCCAGTCCCCATTACTGAGTGAATGACTCTGGCCTAAAAGGTCCGAGATCCTTCTCAAGTACTCCATGAAGCTAAAGCCCATATTCCTGACCTTGCTCTGCCCCCAGGAATAGATACTTGCCACACTTTAGCAGATGTTTATAATTTGGGTTTCAAAGACTGTTATCAGAGATAACACCATGGATGTCACTTCCATAGCTGTGTCTGCACAGAAAAATGGGGACTAGGGAAGAGCAACAAGCATGAAAGGGATCCATGCAGTTCTTGCTCCTGAGATGGGGATCCCTTCCTACCCTGCAGCTCAGGGCCAGGGAACAGAAAGGAAACTCTGGTCACCCATAAGTCAGTTTGGTGGCTTTCAGGAGCAGCACCCGTGTTGGCATAAAACTAAGAACTGGCCTGGGAAGAGACTCCATGTCAGGAAGACAGGGAACCTCTCTCTCTCTCTACTGCACTGGGAGAACTTGCGTTTCCTGGTGAGACACCCCACTCTTCTTCTGTGGTTGTGAGCTGTCACTGAGATCTGAAGGCCACCAGGTCCAACTAAGAAGCTCTCCACGAAGGTCTCTGACACCCAGGAGGGGACAGCTACTGGACTGAAAGACCGAAAAAGTCATAGAATCAGAGGCGCATCCTAACAGTGAGCCAACAAACACTGACCTCTCCTTTGAGGACTGGCTATGCTCACCAGCAACCACAAAATACCCGGAATTTGATGACATGAGAATGTTGCCCTGCAGGGAACATAAGTCATTGCATGGCTGTAATTTGTGACTAGCTGAATTTGTATAAAAGCACTTGGGGCTCTTGAAAACAGAACAAAACAAAAATTAAAATGCATGCTCAAGAAATAATGATGGCCCTCACCCCAATAGTGAAGGGTGCTAATAACTTATGGCTAGAAGAAAAAAGATCACAAAGCCATCCTGGGGCCCATATACTCCAGGTTGAAAGTATTTCCGAGGAAAAGCTGCATTGTATGCCTTCTAAAATAAAGATATTATTGAAATACCTTATGTAATGGAATTATGTTTGATGCCCAAGAAGTCATGAATAATATTTGAAAAGCACAAACATACTCCCTTTATAATCTTTGCAAATCCAATTGAATGTTAAGCTTCTCTTAAGCTCTGTTTACAAAGAACCGTCCCCATTTTCAACTTGATATGGTGGATTTACTTCTACTGTGCAGTTGGAAAATTGACTCTGTACTCCTGAGGGCACTTTTAAAAAAAATAAATTGGATTTCTTAAATTCATTATTTTTCAATAAAATGTATAGCTAATAGTGTTAAGTTTTTTCTACACCTCCTGTCTTTTATTTTATTTGAAGTAGATACAGGTTTGTGAATTGACTTACATAGGAAAGACCTCTCAGAAAATACTTGTTACAATTTCTAGAACGTCAGGCTCACATTTTTCCAGTAGGGGGCAAGAAAGTACTGCATATAAAATCCAGAAGTCCTTTTTTTTTTTTTTTTTTTTTTTTTTTTCCCCCTTTT